GGATCACTAGAGCAGTTGGAGTAGGTCCTGGACTCCTAAATTGTAGTTGGGCCTAGGCTAACCAAGGGCAGGCATGCTCAACCCTGGCTGGGAGCTTTTAATGTATGTAGTGCCTGGGCCCACCACCCCGACAACACCAAAAACCAGTAGTCCAGGTTGAGACCCAGGCATCAATATCTTTTCCAGCTTCCACTGTTGAGTCTTTTGTGAAACCAGGGTTGAAAACAGTCCTTTGGATACCGGACAGAACCAAGTCTCCACATCTGACAACGTGCTGGATGGGAACGACTAGCACTGAAGGCTGGAGCCCCACTACCAGCAAAATCACTGCCCATCCCACCATCCAAGCAGAACTGGATAAGCAATCTTTCCCTCCCTTCTGCAGTAATCTTTGCTTTCTTCACCTCCTTGGGAGGCATCTCTCTGATCCCAGTCACAAATCTCAGGGCCTTAGGGATGTGTCTCCCTCCCCCACCCCCACCTGTAGCCAGCATGTGGGCTGTGAGGCAGAGCACAGCTTTTATAAATGAGACCCTCACACAGAGAGACCTTCCCTAATGGGGGTAGTTTTGCAAAGGAGATGACAGTCAGTGGAGCAGAGAGCGGGGATTTATTTTCAGCTGAGAACCAGAAAATCTGTGTGGTAAACTGGAGCCTTTCCCTGGATGTAGGTCTGAAAGATAAGCTCACAGATCACTTGTTTTCCCACTCCATGGTGGTGTGATGGGGTCACCACTGCTGAGCCGGTTTCACTCCCTGAAATGAGTTTTTAATTTTCAGCAACAGTCTAATTAGTCCTGACCAATGCCTGTTCTTCTCTCTGCCTATTTGCTTGTGCCTTCAGGGTCAGTAGCTGGCAACTAATACCCACTAGATCTGTGACACCCAAATTACCGTAAGGGCTGGGCTAATATCCTGCTGTAGATGCTCTCACACACAGAAAGAAAATTTAAAGGCCAGTGATCTCACGGCCTGGCACACCAAGCAGCTTAGGTACCCTACTTACTGAGTGCCGGGTAAGATCCAAACTCCGTGCTTTAAGATAAGCCTCAGGATTACTGGAAGATTTGATAGGGGGTGAACTAGGGACCCACAAGAGATGTCCCAGTTATTTTTAGTTTCCTTCTTTGTGCAAGATAGTATAGGATATAGGGCAAAACTAGATCTTGTGCTTTCAGTAGCGAACAACTAAAGTTCACATTAGTCGTTTGTTAAGGCCCATGCACAGCACTTTATTTGCTTTTTCTCACTTATTCCCCAGAACAATCACTTTACATATGAGGGAAAAATGAGTTACGGTTTGAGTAACGTGCCCAAGGTCACTCAAAGAGTCAGTGGTAGAACCAAAAGTCAAACCGAGTATGTCAGGTTCCAGCGCCCAAGCCCTCAACCACTGTGACGCTAGCTGTCTGCATATTTGGCACAGAGTTTTAGCCGTTTGTTAAGCATATGGCCCAAACAGTGCAAGAGTCTATAGAACAACAGCCGTGTGCCCCCACCGTTGCAGCTGAAGGATGAAGGACAGCACTCTGCTTTCTCAGCACTCTTGACTTCCCTGGTGGAGGTTCACTTCCAAACAGCCATTTACCTCCCAGAAGGTTTTGCCACTGTAAAGAAACGGTTACATAGTACATGACCTTCTGTTAACAGGTCAGCGGACTATGGCCCATCAGTATGCCCATGGGCCATACAGACGGCTGGCGGAAAAAAATCAAAAGAAGGATAATATTTCATGACACGTGAAAATACATGGAATTGAATCTCAGTGTCCAAAAATAAAGTTTCATTGGAACTGAGCCCTGCTCATTTGTTTACATTTTAACATTATGTTCATCAGTACGTTTGTGCTACAAGCGCAGCGTTGAATAGTTGGAGAAGAGACCATGTGGCTTGGAAAACCCTGAGATATTTATTATCTGGCCCTTTACAGAAAACGTTTGCTGACCCCTACCAGAAGGAAAGAGTGGGTAACTGAGCCAAACTGACAATGTGGTCCAGAGAGTTTTTTGGTTTTTGGTTTGGTTAATAATCCCTTAGGGAAATCATCTTAACTCAGTGTGTCGTACAAGCCACTTCCAACAGAATATGAGCAGCGGGAGTCCCTTCCCACTTCCCAAGTGGTCAGAAGCAAAGCAGCCTAGGCACAGCTCCTTCTGAGCCCCTGTCACCCTTCAGCTAGCCTTGCCCTGGGTCTCAGAAGCTTCAAGACCGTTATATCCTCTCCCTCTTCAGCACATTCCTCATCAAAGGCTGTATGAAGTAATATTTGGGAAACCATGTCCTTAATTTTATTTGCCCAAGATACTTTAGCATCAAACTGTATAAACTGGAAATTGAGAAATTAAGAAGGCTGACATCCAGGGAGTTGAAATGATAAAGCTTTGTTAAACCTCATACTTGCACAGCGCTTCCACATGTGTTTTTATTTAATCATTCTTTAACTTCAAGTGAATATCAGATAACACTGCTCATTTCCTCCTCTCTCTTTTGAGAGTCAAGTTTATGAGACTTTTTCCCCCCTTGATTTCTGCATTCCACTTCTTGGACTTTTTGACACTCCCTTAAGATGTCAGTTGTAGTATATTGCAGCTGGGAAATTGCCTTGTCCAATTTTTTTTTCAAAGAATTGAGTTCTTAATGTGGAAATAAATCATCAAGATTCAGAGAGTTGTTTGTACATTTGAAACGCAGGGAGGGGTCAGCTCAGTTCTGATTTGATGAGCTGCTGGCAGGGAAATGAAAGCTATTGACATGTATAGCTTCTCCCCACTACCCTTCCATCCGCCCCTCCCCCCGCACCCCAGCCTTACCTATGGAATCCTGTTATGGAATAATGGCTTTCAGAGTCTCATTGGTACCCAGGCTGCAGGACCCAGGATAGGGCCATTGGAAAGCAGATGGGAAGGTAAAGCATTGTGAGGCCATCCTGGCTGACTTTGCCTAAAAGTCTTCTTGGAATGAGTTTCTGAGCACTGAGTTCTGGTAGTCAAGGCCACAGGGATAGAGGCACAAAAGAGAGCAGCCAGATTTGATTAGGTTGGAGGTTGGAGAGGTAGGGTCAGAGGACCAAAACTTTTTTTTTTTTTCTGAATTAAAGTCTTTTTAGTAAGGTTTGTAGATTACCTGCTTGCCATCCTGTATTCATGGAAGGGCTCACAGAGGCGGTGGGAGTCCTGAGTGCCACAGAGCTATGTATGTCAGCACACTTCACGTCCAGTACCTCCTGGGGCCCTCATAGAGCCCCTGCTTGATGAGCAACTAGGGCAGAAACGATGATTCTTTATAGACACAAAAATGGAAACTCAGAGAAATTGAGTGGTTTGCTTAAAGTAATAGAGATCGTTAATGACAGTGACAGTGCTGGAGTTTCTGGACTTCTGGTGTTTTGTTTTCCACCCCCACATGACCTCTGTAATGAAAGAATAATCTTCAGAGTCAGGCACACATGGGCTCAGTATCAGCCTTGCCATCTAATAGCTGGGTCCTTTGGACTAGTTATGAAATTCTTCATTTCCTCATTTGTAGACATAAGGATAGCACCTGTGTCACAGACTCATGAGGTACTAATGAGACCACAGGAGTGAGAACTCTGTTAATGGTGCCTTCCGCAGTATGGATGTTCAGTACTGCTTTCTTGTCGTTCCCGTAATACAAATCCTTTTGTCTCTATGATGCAAATATGTATGCATACACGTATATATTTGTATAATTTAATCTACATCCTCCATAAGAGATTGAAGAAACAAAAATTCTGTTTCCTGAGGTATAGTTGGATGCCCTGGGTGGTTAATAGCAGAGCCAGAACTAGAATGAAACCGGCCTCACGACAGCTGAGTCTGGGCCGTTCTTTGCTAGAGGCCTCACCTGCTACAGAAGTCCCATTGGTTTGATGACGAATCAGTCAAAGCACATTTGTATCGAATAGATGTGGATTTTTGTAGCCTTCATGGTGAAGATGTACTTACTTTCTAACCTAAGTCTCCCTAAACTGCCAGCAGGGCCCACACATAAACTACACCCTCATCAACATCCCATTATGGTTTTTTAGATGCAAAACATACCTGTCAGAGTGCCTGTTCACAGTATAAAGACTTGGATATCCAGACTGGGGGCCTGGGGCTGCTATTTTTTTTCTTTGTTTTGCAAGTTGAACACCACTAGGTGTAGTGTTCCAAGATGGCAGAACTGATAGAACCGAAATCTCTATTCCCCCATCCCCCAAAGCACCTGTGTCCTGGATGTGTAACACCATCCCCTAAAACTGCTAATAAGGCACCCTGGAATCCCTTGGTAACTACCACCAGGGAGCTTTGGGCGATAATTATTAAACCTCTACCCAGCACTCATTGTGCTTCACAGCTCTGTGGTGGCCGAATCTGTAAGCTCCTTGGGCTTAGTGGTTGAAAGTGGATATGTGTAGTATGACCAGCTAAAAATTTGGTGGCTTTTATCACAGAAGGCACTAGAGGGAGGACCTTAAATCATCTTGTGGATGTGACAAAAAGCTGAGTTGTGCCTCTGTCCCCTGCATTCCTATTTTTGATAGGGTGTGAAGCAGTGTCTGACTTTAACTCTTTTAGTTGACCCAGTACCCCTTTCTAAATGTCTTCCTGTGTCCCTACCAGCTCACTGTGGCACTCTCCCCAATTTCTCCAGACTAGAAGTGAGTTCAAGGGCATGAACCAATGAAAATAGTTACTGATTCAGTAGAATGAAAGGATACGTGGTGTGGAACATGAAGTTTGCATACAAAGAAATAAGATATTGCTAAATATGCTAGTTCAAAAGGTGGAGGGGCTGTGGTCTCCCTTAATATGAACGTTACCAACTCAGCAAGTAGGAAGATTCAGGGGAATTTCATCCTTGGGTGAAGGGGTGGTGACACTTCACCAAAGCTGCCTCCGAAGGCCCCCCCCACTGGGCTGGATTGGCTTGGTCAGGGAGGGTAGAGGAGTTGATCATGCCAAGCTCTAACACCCCTTTCCTTCTGTCACCTACAGGTGTTAACAGAACTGAAATCTGACAACCAGAGGCTGAAAGATGAAAATGGTGCCCTCATCAGAGTCATCAGCAAACTGTCCAAATAGACTAGGCTGCAGATTTAGGAGGGATGGGACAGCATTTGCTGCTCCCATGCCTCTTTTGCAGCCATTGTCTTCCAACCAAAAGAAGTGAATGTTTTGGTGGAAGGACAACTTCTTTCTGCCCCTCTTCCAGTCACCTTCTCTGCACTGTACATTTCCTCTGCACTCTCAGTGCCCTGTTCCTCCTATACCCCCACCCCCAGAATTTTATGACAGTTTTAACTGAAGCATGATTGTGATAATTGGAGCCATTTGAGCCATCTGGAGAAGGCCTTGGGGAGCACACCAGGCTCAGCTGTGGACCCCAACTTCCTGCTGCTCAGCTACTTGTCCACATTGGATTTGGTCCAAACATGTAAGGCCTCTACCCAAACTAGTACCCCACAGCCTTTTATGCTGACCCAGTGTCCTCTGATATAGGTAGGTCTTATGGTGGCCATTCCAGGATCCTGTCTGGGATGCCAAGAGAAACAGGATGTTGGCATAATCATCCGACAGCCTCTGGAGCTGTGTTTCCATTAAGATTCCAAGGTGACAGTGACTCTGCATTGAAGGTCACCTCTGCTAGTCTTCACCTCAGGAACTGACTTTTATCTAACTCCTTGCTGGTGTTACTGTTATTTTTTCTATCAACAACCCAGTAACATCCCTGACGAGTCTTAACTCCTACTCCTCCCTCGTGCTTAGTCCCCTTCCCCAGGGCTCAGATGACCCTGGCTTCATTTATTCCTTTCCCTTCTATCCTCTCATTTCTCTTTCTGTCTCCCCTCACCACCTTGCTACATGGTATAAAAGCTAGAACAGAGCATCTGACCTCACTTGTCTTTGGCCATTATGGAAAGTCATTTCTCCTGGGACCCTCTGGAGACCAGAAGAATTGCATTGGTGGTGGCACCACCAGCCTCCTCGCTGAAAAGCCAGACCATCAATAACGTCAGACCGCTGTTCTCATCTCCGATTTGTTTTCCCTACACAGTGATTTTCTGTGTTAGAAAATCTGGGCTCTGAACACCCCATTCTGCCTCACCTCCTTTTGACCTTGTTTTCCTCTCTTCACTCTGGCACCCGTTCCTAATGAAAAAGTAAGCCCTTGCAAGGAGGCATGAGAGCTGGGAAGGGTGGATTGATGGGATGCAGACTGGGGAGTGGAAGCAGGTTGGAAAGACAGATACGGTGAAAAGTAGCATCTGGGGACACTTGCAACCTTGTGATAAAGAAGGTAGAAGATGGCAGCCCATCGTGCTGTGATAATGGTGAATGTGACTATTTCTGGTGGCTAGATTTAGAGGAGAAACATTTGTTTTCTTAGAAGCTGGCAGGAGAAATGACTTCTTAACAGAGGTTTAAAGTGATGAGATCCTTCCAACCCATTGAGGAGAGTCATGGAATCTTTGAGTGGCAAAGCCACTCATGTGATTGAGCTTTCTGTCATTGTGCCACAGCTCACTGCCCACTGCCACAGCTCTGACCCACAGTCAGGTGTTCCCTGGTGGCTGTGCATTTATTCCTTGAAAGTTGGGCAATTCTAATAACCAGAAAGTTTTTCCTAGTATGAGTTAAGGTCTCCCTGTGGATTCTCCACATTGTTCAGTACTGCCCTTTGATGGGACAGTCCTTTAGATATGCAGAGGCGTGGATCTCCCCTTAACCTTACTTTCATCTGACGTTTCCCCAGTCCTTTGGGGCATACCTCACATGGCATACTTTTCCTGCCTGTCACATCTCATCTGTCATTTTCTGGACAAAAACAGCCTTTTAAAATATCATGCCCGACCTGGACGGATACTCCATTAGCACAAAATTAAACCATTGGTCCTTGGTGATGACCCAATATTAAGACTTAACGTATTTGCTCTTTATAGGTGTTTTCTCCCTTGGTTCGTTTATTTTGAGTGTGCAGGTCATTTCGGTTCTCTTCATTTTAGAGTTGCCCGTGATATTCAGTGCTTTGAGTGGTCCATTCTCTTAACATATACTACCTCTGTCCATTTTTTATTTCTTTCCAGAAAATGACAATATAGTTCTCCATGGCTCTTTGAAACATTACATGCTCTTTAAACCAGAGGCTATAATTCAAGATCCTAATTCCAGAAGAGGAAATCTGTCTCCCCTGGCAAAAGATCCATTTTTAGAGTATACAGAATCCTCTCTTCCACTTCCAACTATTTTCCAAGAGAAGCTGCTACTGATTAGGATTTTGTATGGTCACAGGAGCATGTGGACTCAGTTCTCAGGGAATGCTAAATTAGAGAACAGTGTTTCCTCACTTCCACTATAAACATCCCCTTCATTCTAGAGAGAGGGGAAATCAACACAAGGTGTTGAGTAATTAATTCTCCTGGCACATCCCAGATATTGGGCAAGGGATGGGGGTGGTTCGTTGCCTCCTCTTTCTCAGGAAAAGAAAATTGAATTATTAGGAAAACATCTTGACCCTCTTCCATTAGATAGACAGGGTAAAGGGGTTACGGAGAGTTCCCTCAGATCTGTTTGTGCCTTTCAAATGTATGGGACAGAATATAAAGACTCTTAGGGTGGTGTCATGCACCTGCTGCTTCACACAGCCCTTTCCCATTAAAGATGCCTTTTCTTGCCAGAAAAGTTTTCCTTGTGATGAAAAATGTACAAGCTTTTCAGTCTCAGGAATACTGAATTCTATGGCCAACAGCATGAAAGTGTAAACCATGCTAAGTGATTTCAGGCACTCTCTCTTATGCAATTAATTTTATTAGACAGATAGACTCTGAATTCTGGTCACTTTCCAGAGAATAAAATAACCTTTCTTCACAGTTGGATTGACTGGAAGCTCCGGGAGTGATGGTTAGGGACCTAAGGACGAGCTGTGCCCCCAGGTGCCAGCAACAGCAGGCTTCCCTTCTCTTTGCTGTTGGTCTCTCCAGTGGCCACAGACCTGTGTCCTCACCCTGCTGCTGTGGATGCCCGTACACACCCAGATCGCTCACGCTGCATGATACTGCTGGTCTGGCCAACAGTTTGCAGCTCAGCTGTGTCACTTTAGTATTTACATGAAACAGCAGAAGGGGGAAAAGAAGGTTCCCAGTACAGCTCTACATCCTCTGTTCTCATTGATTTGATATTTTTCAAAACCAAGCCACACCTTTGGGAGTAATGGTTTGGCCATTCCAGAGATTCTCTGGCTGAAGTTTCACTGCTTTGCCTATTTGTCTTTCAAGGGCTACTTATTCTTTTCCAGATAGTTCTTGGGCATAATGGCCCCCAGCCCCAGTGCTGGTCTCTAGTGCAACAGGGTGATGCAAATCTTAGGGTGTTGCCTCGAAAGAATCCGAAGAATAGACCTGCCCTGGGCTTATTCAGTGCACTGAGTACTCTCTTGGGAAGTCTCACTTGGTATTTCCTGGAACCTCCCTGCCGTGTCCTGTCCGACAGCAGGATGTGTTCACTTCTCTTCTGGGCCTTCCTGTCTCCCATTCCATGGTTGAGACCCAAGATGCATGTATTGCTCTCTGAGGCCACTGCCGGAAGGAGGCTTCAGATCTCTGGTTTGGATCATTTCACATGCTTTCCCTGCCCAAAACAAAACGTGCTTATTGGACAATTCCAAGAAGGCTGAATCCCCACGTATGAGCCTGTGAATCCCACAAAAATGTGTGTGAACTGTTTTGCTATCAAGGGCTTTTAACTGAGCCAGAGATGAGAGAAGAAACTCTCAAAGTCATGCAGTTTGTTCGGTCTCTGGATTTCTGGCCCCAGTGCAGCATCTCTTCGCCAGACAGATCCACTGCCTGCCCTCAGGGAAAGGCCAGCGTTCCAGCCCGGGCCGCTGGCACGGGAGAAGGTCCTGACAGCGTTGGCGCACTCCGTATGCGGTGGTGGGCGCGAGGTGAGCAGAAGGGGCGTGGAGATGAGAGAACTATTTAAAGTGTCATCAGCTATTCAGCCTCCAGGGAAAAGTGTGTAAAGGATTCAGCAACTGAGCCAGTAGGCAGAGGGGGACACCTAATTCCACCCCACCCAGTGAGCACTGCTTCCACCAGCGCCTAAGGACGCACACTATGTGGACCCCGGCTGGTGTCCTTCCCTTCTCGTCATTCTCAGAGGCCATTGTTTGTGCTAACACTGCACCTAACTTTAGACACACAGTTGTCAATTATTGGTGGTCCCTGCCTAGATCTAGCCCCAACTGTAACTGCATATCTTGGTCTCCATGCTGATTTTTTAAGGCAGATTTCAACCCCTATCAAAGGATGTGATTCCTCTGACCCAATAAGCAAGGCAGCTTTGAGGGCAGAATAAGGCAACATGAAGGGATAAGCCGCTAGGGGTCAGAACATCTGGATTCTAGGGCCAACTCTTGTGACCTTGGGAGAGCCACCGTCCCTGTCTGCAAATGGCAATTGGACTAATAATCCTTGAGATCCCTTCTAGGTTTCAGATTCCATAATTTGTTTATACCTAGGAAGGAAGATCAGAATATTTCTGACACTCAAGAGTTTTTGCTCTTTCCAAGGGCAAAAATTCTTGTTTTCTTATGGATTCAAACTGTTTTAACATCAGCAAGTCAAGGTTGGTTTCTCATCCTTGTTAGAAAGTGAATTTAATATTGAGGGTAATTGAATGGTGTTGCAATTGCTTTCCCTCCTAATGGCTTGGTAAGAATATTAAAACCTGTAGAGGTGGAAATCGGAGCTCATGGGGTAATGGATAGAAAGCAATTTGTGGCAGGCAGCCTTTGGACAAATTGTTTTAATAGGAAATAGAGCTGCTGCTTCATAGATTTCCTCAACCTACCTTTCCTCAGCCTTCTCAAATGTGGTCTCCGTGACTGTTCACATCCAAAGAGCAGACATTGCCTTTCTGCTTAGTACCAGCTTGCTCCTAGTCTTAAATTCTGCCCTGTAGCAGCAAGAGAATTTTCCTCAATGAGAGCCTCAGCCTTTAGTTCTGCTGAGCTCCTCTGGATTCTGGACTAGACATAGAAGCTTCCATGCTGTTCAGGATGGTCCTTCCTTTAAGCAAGTCTGCAGAGCACTCTATGAGGACAGTAAACACAGACCCTAAGTCCCCACAGCCATATTGCATAGAACAGTGCTCAGCTCCGACAAGCCTCCTGCAGGACCGAGTGTGAGCAGAGGGGAAGGACAGAAACCCTGAAAGTGGAGGTGGCCATGAGCTGCGGTGGGAAGGTGGGAAGCAGGCAGAACAAAGCAGCGTGGAGGCTGCCAGCACCAGAGGAAGGGGTCACTGAGCTGCAGAGCTGCATGCAGGGAAATGAGTGCTGGCTCGCTGGTGCCCTCATCCCTTGGCCTCCAGCAGAGCTCAGATTTTTATCAGCTTCCCTAATGGGTATCGACATTGCTTGGGAGCAGCAGACCCTATCAAGGACAGCTATTGATCGCTCGTGCTCTGATTAGATTGGAAAACAGATCAACTCCACTGCTGCCCAGGAACTGTTTACTGTCACAGCGACTAGGAAAGGAGGTAGTCTCTGGAGACTGAGAAAAACCAAATCGAGACTCATGACAGCGACTTCCCAGCGACTGCAGGGGAAGAGATGTATTCACTTCTCCTTTGAGATTTGTGAATGAGCGTCAAATTGCACCTAGTGTGGCTTGCAACCCAGTGTTCCGGAAGCCTCTCCTCAGGAAGAACTGTAATAAGGGGGCGTGTTTACAGACAGGCACCATTGCTGAGTGATGAATTGATTGATGAATGATCTGATCGTACCTAAAGAGGTTTAACAATGTGGAGAGCACTATTCTAGCCTGTATGCATACACATGCACATTTGCCAGTACAGAGCTTCCAAAAGGAAGTCTGGCATATTTCTTGATGAACCAATTTTATCCAAGTGTATTATCACGTTAATTCATTATCTTTTGCTTTTCCCCTGCCCTTCCAGTCCCCTAAAAGACTTCTCCCTGAGCCATTCTTCAGTCCCATCTGCTCATCATTTTGGACTGTGATTCTGCCAGAGTGATACTTTCTTTTATTTCACCAAATTTCCCTCTCATGCTTCTAATAAACTTCTTGGGTGTCCCCTTAAAGTAACATGAGGATGCTCTTATGTCCTTCCCCTCCTCCCCCCAGAAAACATACCATTTACCCTTCCTCTCTCATCTTCCTCCATTCTTTGTTCTTTGCTTTTCTCACTTGGACTTGATGGTACTTAGGAGAGGAGGTTTCCCACAAATCAGCCATGATTCCTGGAGGAGTTCCATACACCAACAACCACCACCAGCCCCCTCTTCTAGTTTCAGAGGTCCCTGGCTGTGCTAATGGCCTCTCAGAAATGAGGTTTAAATGGTGGGCCTATTTGACTTCACCGACTGGACAGGTAGCCACATCTAGTTTTTATCCTGAGAGGTTTGACTATTTCCAGCTAGAGACAGAGTGTCTTCTCAGAAAAAACTTCAGCCCATTGCTGCCTTGCAGGAGAAGATTCAGGAAAGGCACACTGACTGCAGGGAGCCTCTCTGAGCCTCTGATGTTCCACAAAACCAGAGTTGGGGATGAGTGCAGATCCTGAACAGGGACATGTGAAGTCAGCATTCTCTAGACTCTCACCTTAACATATCTGACCTTGCCTTTTCTCCCTCCCACACTACTGAAGCTAGGGACAGACCCCAGTGTGTACTCTGGTGAAGAAGGCCAAATAACGACTCAGTAGAGGAAGAAGGACACAGGGGTTTGAGCACAGAACACCAGGAGGCAGGCTGCAGGGGTGGGAGAGAGTTCTGGAAGGATGGACAAATCCAAAATAACTCTGCTTCTAGTTAGTGTCTCTTGAGTCCTTGAACAGTTGGGCCTGCCACCTAGCTGGCACCTAAGTAGGGCCATCATCTCCCAGAAGAGGGAGGGAACCTGTTTTGCCCTTGCATTCCCTGCTCTTGGAGAATGTACGGACTTGAGCCATTCAGACTCAGCCTTTGTCTTTACGGTTTCCCTCCTTCCATTCTTCTCTGCCTTGACCTTGGATCAGATGGGGGTGAGAAGAGCTGCTAAGAACCACCCTGGGGTCTTCATGCCTCTCCCATTTTGGGGTTTGAGCCTTGACCTTGGATCTGAAAGGGGTGAGAAGAGCTTCTAAGAACCACCCTGGGGTCTTCATGCCTCTCCCATTTTGGGCGTTGAATTTTGTGTCTTCTCCACTCTTCAGTCCCTTCACTTCCACCACAGTTCAAGTGGCAGATGTACCGTTTCCAGCTGAGTTGTATGAATTAATTTCAGTCCCTTGTAAATACACCTGGGGGGGGGGCCTAGGGGCATTGAGGGAGGGGAGCCAGATTCGCTTTGTGAATTGAATGTATTTTTATGCAATTTTGAGTGGCCTTCCAACCCTGAGATGAATGATTTTGTTTTACTGGTTATTATATAGTATTATTAAGTATTCTGTGTTTGAAAGTTTGGGAATAATAATATTCACATCTATATGATGCCTGTAAACACAACCATATTTATAAATGAGTAAATAAAACCGTGTTTTAACTTTGTGACTATGTCTCCACAATTCCGGAAATGGGGTTTATAGAATCTCCCATCTGGGGCAGCCCACTCCAATACTTAGGGGCCTCCCCCTCCTGCCTCTGACCCAGGAATAGCCACAAGTGAATCACCGTCCTTGAGAGCAGGGTCTCTGGAGTCAGGCCAAGGAAAAGCCTAAATTGGAGGTTCAAAAGAACCATTAGAAGAAATCAAGATTCTCAGTGTCCAGTGACTAGGAATATGGTTATCTCTTTGAAGAGAGCAAGGCTCATTGACAGGTGTGGCGGCGATCTAAACAGACACTAACGCACTCTTGCACATGGCAAAAGAGGGCTAGAGAGGCAGGAGCTTTCTTGGGCTCCTAGAGGTCTCCCGGCTTTCACCCTTGGCCCCCTACTATATACATAATGGTCCTCACTAGGTCACTGACTCAGGAGAGCCAAAACCACTCTGTAGCCTCAGACTACAAAGTTAGCTAACTTGGGGGTTATTGGAGGTTAAATCCAAACTCCCAACAAAGGAGCCAAGCGCAGGGAGGAGGCTGCTCGGGCCGTCTGGCAGCCTTGGCAGGTGGGTGGTCAAGTCTGACACCGCTCGGCCAAGGTTCGGGTCTGGTTTCTCCATCCGCAAGCCCTGCCTCCGGCTTTGCTCAGCCTTGTCCCTTCTGCCAAGCAGAAATCCCTGGTCACTGACTTGGCACAAGCACAGGGAGGTCGGGGAGGAAAGATTCTTTTCTCTTGCTGTCACCCAGCTGCTTGTAGCCCAAGCAGCAACAGAACAAACACACATGATGTCATGGTTGAAGAGTTCAGACCGGCCCTGGGGCCTCAAACAGAGGCAAAGCAGCATGTGTGATGCGAGGGCCTTCTAAGCAGCAAATGTCGTTTCTCTTTCTGGATCACCCCCCTCCCCAAACCTGCGAGGTATGTAGAGCCAGAGTATCCCCTAGCGGCCAAGTGGTCTCCTCTTCTGCAGAGGGGACATGCCCACTGCGGAGAGCTCACGTTCTCAGCCAGGACACCCACCTTGGACAAATCCCCAGCCCCTGGGCTGAGCAGGCTCCTGCCCCTCACCTTACCAGGCCACCCAGCCTACCCTGCTCAGGACCTAGAGCAGCAGGAGCAGATCTGCTATGCCTGGACCTGACTGGCAAGCACAAGCCTGAGCCCGGAGGCCCCCCTCCCACCTAGCTGTCGTTAAACAGAGCGGGGATCTCAGCCTGGGCTAAGCTCACAAAATGGCAGAGGCTTGCCAGTCTTCAAGGCAGGGAGACAGGTCCACAGGCTGGAAAGGGAACCGAGGAAGGAGCTTAACCCTTTCCAGTTCTTGGGGGTGTGAGCCTGTGAGAGACTCCTTCGGGGGCTAAAACTTCATTCTGTTTTTTTTTTTATTTAAAAAAATTTTTTTAATGTTTTATTTATTTCTGAGAGAGACAGCGTGAGCAGGGGAGGGTCAGAGAGAGGAGACTCAGAATCTGAAACAGGCTCCAGGCTCTGAGCTGGCTGTCAGCACAGAGCCCAACGCGGGGCTTGAACCCACGAACCATGAGATCATGACCTGAGCCAAAGTCGGATGCTCAACCGACTGAGCCACCCAGGCGCCCCAAACTTCATTCGGTTTTTAAAAACAGGAACTGAACTATTGAACCAGGCAGAGGCATAGGAGCGAACACAGGCCCGCTGTACCCTCGGTCTTGATAACGACTGCACACTCCGCAAAAGGGCTTTTCCTAGTAACTGACCATACTTAGAACACCAACTGTAAAATGTACCCGTCAATCATAATTTTTGAAAAACAACTGTGTATATTTCCTAATACTTCTACAGCTTGCTGATAAAAACCTCTGGCTTTTACTCTTCGAGGGACACAACCGGGTTTCCATCCAAATCTGGGTCCCCTGAATTGTAGCTCTAGGACCGCACGCAAATGCTTTTGTATTATTTCAGTTCTGCCTCTTTTTCAACAGACACAGTGCTGCCCTACTTTCTCTTAAAATTCTGAAGCCCCGTCCTTGGTCCCTGGGACCAACTTTGCCTCAGAAATCAAAAACGTTTGATGTTCCTTATAATGGGGCAAAGACTGTAGAAATTCTCACTTTTGGGGGTACCAGGGTGACTCAGTCGGTTAGGCATCCATCCAGCTTCTTCGGCTCAAGCCATGATCTCATGGTTTGTGAGTTCGAGCCCCACATCAGGCTGTCTGCTGACAGCGTTGAGTCTACTTCAGATCCTCTGTCCCCATCTCTCTCTGCCCCTCCCCCGGTCATGCTCTCTCTCTCACAAAAATAAACACACATTTAAAAAAAACAAAAAACAGAACTTCTCACTTTTCAAACTCCCCTTCCCCAAGCCCAGCCCCAATGGAAAGAAATCAAAGGTCCGGTCCATCTCCCAGCCTCCCAGATGGCATTCCCTGGCACCCCTGCCCCCCAGAAAGCTATCGTGAGGGAGTGTGTGCCCCACCACCCATCATCAGGTGCATCCCCAAGAAGAGAATGGGGCTCAGGCCTCTCATACTGCTTCCCTTGAAGGAAGACACTGGGCTACAGGCCAGATCCTCCCCCTCCCCCACGCTCATTAGGCAGCTCCTGCCTTCCCCCTCCCCCCAGCCCAGCAAAAACTAGAGACACCCCCCACCCCCAGGTTTCTTTCAGCTCATTTCTTTAATAAGGAGACGCAGCTCATTACAAAATAACCATTTGACAAGAGATCAGACAGGAACAACAGAGTCCACATAAGGGGGGGTGTGGAGAGCATTGCCAAGCAGAGGAGGGCGGGGGAAGGGGCAAGGGCTATACATGTGTCCTTCCTGTGAAGACAAAGGCAGGGTTCCTGGTGGGGCCGATGCATTCCAGGAGTGACCTGGGGCAGGCGAGGGTCTGCCCACCCTGGTTGTGAACTTTTCAGATCCCTGGGATTTCAGGACGCAGCAAATCCAGTCCTTAGATGTGGAGGAGTCAGGGCAGAACCGCCAGGCTCCTTTGAAGAGGGTCGTCCTCGAGTCCCGATGGCTGAGGAGGGCTGGATGGAGAGACAACCCCCCAACCCCACACACACCGCTCTGCCACCTCACGAGGCCAGATCCCTTCAACTCTTGCCTGCGTTGGGGGTGTGGAGAGTGGGAGGGTCCCAGAGAGAGCTAGAAAGAGGCTGGACACGTCTTCCCTCCACTCCTCCAAGCTCCTGGCCCCAGCCCACCCGGAGATGGTGCCCAGCGCGAAGATCCCCGGGGTTCTGTGTGCTCGAGCGTCGTGACAGAGCCACCTCGCAGCCTTTGGCCTCGTCCCCCTCCTGTTCTCGTCTCTGTCCTTCCTCACGCTTACCAGTCGCCATGCCTGAGGCCTCCTGGCATCATTCCCGCGAGTTGTCTGAGCTGCAGGCTGGGAGCTACGTGTCCCTCTCGGTACAACACAGTGATTTGGGACCCAGGGAGTCCCCAGTCCACCCCCACGCTCTCTTACCACTGGGTGCTCCTGGCTGGGGCTGCCCTGGGGGAGCCGGCAGGAGGGTCTGCGGGGGCCAGGGCTGCCCACCACTCTCGAGGGAGCCCTGGCAACCCTCAGGCTGCCCGCCCTTGGGAGCTCTCTGTCAGCCTGCAGGAGGGAGCACGGTGGGAAGAGCCTAAGCCACGGCGTTCTCCAGTGTCCCCCCGAGACCCTCCTCCACTGCCACCCGTATACCCTGACCCCACGGTGTTACATAAGCGGGGCTGGTTCTGTCAAAGCCAGACGGGAACGGGAACCTGGGCCGCTGACTAGCTGCTCCTGAAAATCCTGGGCGCCTCCTCAGTGCCCTCAGGAAAGGTACCCCAAGCTAGGGCGTCCCCACCGCTGCCCGGTCCACACACAGGGTGGGGATGGAGCTGGACCGTCAGATCCAGGTGGAGGGAGCCAGCTCGCGCAGGGCCAGGCGGGACGTCTCCTGGGGCCCTGCCAGAACGCCTGGACGCCATCTGTCCTCACAACGTGGGGCAGAGAGAGCAGGAGGGGTGACAGCAGGTGAGCCCTTCACAAGTGTTCTGTGGGGAGCCAGTCAGAGGGACACGGGGGGCTCCTGGGAGGAACCAAGGGCAGTCTCCAGCAGGAGGGCCCCTTTATGGCTTTTCAGTTAATTCAAACAGTGGGAGGAAGGGGCACACCACACACATACACAGGACATGGAAGTGACCGGGACACCAGACACCAGGCTGGATACAGTGCACGGGACACTGAGGGTCAGCTCTGCAGACGGATGTGCAGCAGGCAGTGGGGACGGACGGGCCTTCAGGGCGCCAGCGGTGCGCCCACGTCCCTGAAGGCAGGGCTGGCGCCGGAGGCGGAAACTGACTCCTCCAGCCGATGGCTCCCACTGGGGGTTTCCCGAGGGGGTAAGACCGAGCGGGGCTTGGGGACAAAGACTTCATGTGACATAAAATCAAAGGGGCAGCCTCAACGAGTTGTGTAAAGTGGGTCCGAGGTCAGGGGCTGGGGGCACTCTCAGCATGGCCATGCGGCTATTTACAGAAAGAGACATGCATGTTGAGTAAACAAGGCTCGGTTCATATGTTTATAGATCACTATCGTCTTGTATAGGTAACTAAATGCATGTGGAGGGGGTCAGATGAGGCTCAAATGGCTTCAGAAGGGTCTCTTGTTTTGTTGTCACTTAAAAAATATATTCGTGTGTCTTCAAGTCACAGTGTCCCCTTCTCCATATTGCAGCTCGAAAAGCAGCAAGATCCTTGGTGACCAGTCTCTGGGACTGAGGGGGGAGAGGGGAGAAGTGGTCATAGACTAGGGGTGGCAGATAAAACACAGGATGGCCAGTTACACTTGAACCTCGGATAAACAACACATCACTTTGGGTAGAGTATGTCCCAAGTTCTGGCTAGGACATACTTAGACTTTAAAATTATTTATTGTTTATCCAAAATTCAAATTTAACTGGGTTTTCTTGTATTTTATTTGCCAAATCTGACAACCATGTCATGGGGCTCTGGGCCTGGGAGACCTGCCTGCCTCCACCCAGGGCTCTGAGACAGGGCCCCCGATCAGCCTGAGGTGGGGAGGGGGGGAGTGGAGGGTGGAAGGGCAGGTCCTGGCTCGTTCTCTTCCTACCTTTACGGGGAGGGACACCAAAGGACAGCCTCGCTCTGTATGTGGTTGAGTGAGATCAAGAGTTAGCATACATGAAAGGAACATGGACTCTCTCACTTCCAACTCCAGGGGAGGTTTCTTAACCTCTCTGCTTACCCACCACCACCCCACTGCAGGGAGGCAGGGTATCAGGGAGCTGGTTTACCCACAGGAGGGACTGAGGCAACCCTTCTCTTCTCTCTCGCTGAAGCCCTGGGCCAGCAAAGTCATCCCAAACTGATTCTGCAGAAACACAGCTATGTATGGTTGCCTGGGAAGAAAAAACAGATCAGAATCTGAGACTATGCTCTAATCCCTGGTGTCCCATCCCCCAGCTGAGGGACCCCCACAGAGTCACTTCTCATTCATGCCAAGCATCTGCTGGCTCACTGTCTGGGGCTGCCCGAGGGTTCTCTACCCAGCATCCCCCAGGCCTCAGCTTCCACTGAGCCTAGGGCTCTGGCAGAGTTAGTTGACCTTCTGGAATGATTATTCAAGGAGAAAGAAGACTGGGTTTTCTGGCCTCACCCCATTTCTGAGTGGGATTGGGTTTGGGTCTTTATGGTCTCAGTCCCTTTGGAAAAAAAATCTCTTCTACGCTACGTTCTTGTCTGGAACAGACTTTCGGAGTGATAACTCCTAGCTGCAGAGGCCTCCAGACCCCCGCACTAGTCAAAGCCTAGCTCTACCCTAATTAGGGCCTCCACCACACCTAACGTCCCCAGAAATAAACCTGCGAGGCAGGGAGGGTTCCGAATGATGTGCCACAGTTAGAATGACATCAGCCCTCAGGTGTAGAAAAGTCACAACTGTCAGTTTACCTGCCTAGTTCATGGACCTGGATAGATGCCTTCACTAGAATGGCTCATTTGGGTCAAGCACCCATCCCAGGACCAGCCAGAAGCAAGGTGGGGGGCAGGGGCCCACACACAGGTCTCTCCCTGGCTCTATACTGGTGCCAACACTCAGTCTCTCAGCATCCTGCCCCCACCCCTCAAAGCTTCTCACTGGAGGTGGGCCTGGAGTAACAGAATCCAGCCCCTGTCTCTTGGCACATGGACAGCCAAACCCCCAGGGGTGCCCACCATTTCTTTTCCTTCCCATCAGGAAAGTGGCAAATCTTGGACTCTGGAGGGTCTGAATGAGGTTCATGGGCACAGAAGAATCTCAGGTGGTAGGAAGCACACTGGGAAAGGGCAAAAGAATGAAGGTAAGGAAAACAAGATGGACAGTCCTCTGAGCAAGGTGTGTGGGATATGGTGGGGAGAGAGACCCTGAGAAAGCACCAAAATCCCACAGCTCTGGAGACGGGAGAAGAGCCCAGTGACTCCTGATGCCCATACCGGGATTCCTACTCCGTAGTCAGCCGGGTTCTGAAGGCACCCCATTTTCCTACAACTCTCTGCCATGACCACAACTCTGGTCCCAAGGACCAAAGCTCATAGTTCTTGTCAGAGTCCTACCTTCTCATCATTAAGTACACACCCACATTCACACAGGGCCCAGTAAAATATGACCTCCCATGTCCCAAGGGCCGCTAGCAACAAGGAGAAGGGTTTCTGAGAGATGGGCAAGGTTCAGCCCTGCTTGCCGGTCTGTTTCTGGCAGAGGTTTTCCCTCCTTCCTCTCTAACCAAAAAACATGGCACAGCAGAAACAAAAGGAACATTTCCTTTCTTTTAATAAAATAAAAAGATACTCTGTACCTTCTTCATGCTGGATCCTCAAACCCTGAGTCTCTCTAACACTGTCCATCTGTCTCAAGTACCTACAGGAAACTGACGCGGCCCAGATGGGATAGGACAGGAAGTGCTGCCATTTTTGCTGGGAAAGAGAGAGATCCCCAAGCTTTGGGGAAGCTATGAGTATTCTGTGGTGAAGAAATGGCAAGGGCCTGAGGGCTTCATGGATGGAAGAGAGAGGCTGAAGGAAGGGAGGCGAGGACGGGAGGAAGGGGTGAAAGGAAGTGGTGCTGGCCTTAGGCCATGTGGGACCTGACTCTTGCCCAGGCTGAAGGTTTGGAAGGAGGCTCAGTGCAAACTTGGCTAACATATATATGGCTTTTTATCAATGCGGGGGACAAAAGGTGAAGAGGGAATGGGACATAACTGAGCATGGGGTAGAAACCCCAGCAGGTGTCCTCTACCACCCATTTGGAATGGATGTCCTGCTTCCTGGCATTCCTAGAGAGAAGCCACCCTAAGGAGTAGTAGGAAGGGGCCTCTCCACAGGTCTCTCTGGGCCACGCCAGCTACCCATAAGCTGTCTGGCATGGAAGGCAGAGGAGTGGGAGCTGGCGGGCACGGATCTCAGCACCCCCACCAATCTCATCCGGGAAATCTCTGCCATCTCTCCACCATCCTCCCCCTTCTTACCTGGACCTCAGGGGGACAAGAATTTAAACCTTCCTTTTAGAGTTCTCTGGCTCTGTACAGAAAACGGTCTTCGGATAGTGTTGCTCCACTTAGATTAAAAGAGAAAACAGAAGCAAAAGCATGATGGGGAATAAAGGCCAATGAACCGCATAGCTTATATTCTGGAAAGGGAGAAAGCATCTGTGTTTCCCACTGGAAGGGGGTGAAGAAGATCCAGGAGATTCATTTGGTCTTTCTAGGTAATGGGTCTTGTTTCTTCATAGTTTGATGTTAACCGTCAACAACAGTGAGGTCCCAGGACTGATGGTCCCTGCTAAAGTCTGACCAATCTAGTGAATTTTTCGCGTCCACCAATGTCCCAGAAACCACACTCGTGGGGAAACCATGCCTGACAGGAGGAAGTCTATGACGGCCTCAAGGGTTTGGTCCTAGTTCTGAACAAATCCAGTCTCCACATCTTGCCTCCCAAACAGCCACCCACAAGGAGTATGGGAGCTGCCGGCATCTGACCAGGACTCTGAGCCTCCTCCACAAGCTGACGGAAGATCTCCCACTTAGAGGACGTCTCTTCGTTTCAGGGTCCCTGAAGAGCCTTCTCTTCCCACACCGCTTCACTGTCCATGGCTCATTCCAGGAATGCAGAGAGATGCTCAAACACACACACACACACGCACGCACGCACACATGCACACACGCACACATCATAGGCCACTGTGTTGCCTTCCCTGTCAGGAAACAGGATGTGCTGCCATTTTGTTGGTCCAGAACACTCAAAAAACAGGAAGTGCTGTGACTTCGGCTGAAAGAGGGCCTCGCTCAGGGTGAGGCGTAAGTGAAGCTTTGAAAGAGCGAGAGGGAAACGTGACAGGGCATGCAGCAAGGACAGCTCCTGGGACGATGAAAAGAGCCAGGCTTCTCTTTCACCTGTTAGGGGACTCTCCTCACACGGCCATCAGAGGGAAGTCGGTCTTTAAAAAGAGATAGAGAAAGGAAAAACCAGGACACAACCACAAACGAATGAGAAGGAAAACCTCTAAGGGTGCGTAACTGAGGTATTGATAGCTCTGGATCTTGTCAGTGTCTGTGACGCCGCGGGGCCCCGGCCGCTGCTGCCTACTTGTTCTTGCCCAGGAGCGCGTCCACCTCCTCCTCGGGCTTGAGCGAGTGCCACTGGGCGATGGGCCGCCGGGGGTTGGCCAGCATGTCAGACCAGTGCCGCAGCTCCGTGCCCGTGGCGTTGCTGCCCACGAAGATCTTGCCGATGGCTTCGTTCTTGCCCAGCTTGTCGTAGTCCAGCACGGTGACCACCACCTGGACTTTCTGCGGGGAAGCAAAGAAGCGGGAGTCGGCGGGTGGAAACGGGCGCTCCCGGGGCCAAACCTCTCCTGCTCCTTCCTCTACTCCAAGCGCTGCGCAAGGAGGGGCCTCCCAGGGCGGCCTGCTTCCAGCTCTGGACTTACTTCCAAGACTGAACTCAAACGGAGGCAAAGGCTGCACTTTTTGGAAACAGCCTTTCTTCCTACCGGTAGGCGCTTACTGCACGCGCTGCGCTCCAGCCACGGCTGGGTGCCTGGAAGCGGAGGGCAGTGAGGGCGAGGGGAGGGCGGAGTGTACTTCACCTTAACGAAAGCAGTGGACACATACTCAGAAATTCACAACGCAAAGGGATGGAGGTTATGCTAGAGAGGTGAGCACAAGGTACTGTGGGAACTCAGACGAGGTGGCAGTAGTCCTCGGGTCAATCAGGGAAGGCTTCGCAGAGGAGGTGACATAGAAACTGGAGGGTGAGGGCTGAGGACTTCTCTAGGCAGAGAGAGAAGAGGATCCCAGGAAGGAAGAGTAGCCTGGGCGGCGGCAGAGAAACACAAGTGTGCACTTGGTATCTTGGGAACAGAAGAAGTTCAGAGGCACTGAGGTAGAGTGTGAGAAGCAACAAAGCGGGAAATGGGGTCAGCAGGGGGCGCTGTGCAGGGTGGGGTTAGCTAAAGAGTGTGCGTTTTGTTCTTCAGGCAAGCAGCAGGGAGCTCCCAAGGACTTCTGGGAGGAGTGGCATGGATAGATATTTCAGGAAGAGACCCCTGACGTTGAGGTGGGAGATTCGCTGGAGGTGGTCAGGGACTGACAGGCGGACTGGGGGCTGAGGGGGGAGCTGGCGGTGGGGGAGTGTGGGGAGTGAATGCCTGAACCAAGGTGGGGCGGTGGTAAGGGAAGCAGGGACCAGGCTGCAGAGGCAATGAGGGGAGAGAATCAAGAGAACTTGGTGGCCAGTTTGGACCAGCCAAGGTGACAATCAGGAGCTTTCTTTGTCCTGCCCCCGACCCACGCCCCCCCCCCCAACTCAGGCTACTCAAGTTCATCCTTTAGGACCAAGCCTGTTCTGGGAAGCCTCACCTGTCCTCTGTGTTTACACACTTTGAAGCCCTCATCTCCCTGTGTCTCGATGGCCTGTCCCCGCTCCCCCTCCCGACTGTGAGGCCCTTGAGAGCAGGGGCTGTGTCTTCTGCACATTTGTTTCTCCTGCACCTAGCAAGTTCCTAGAAGGCGCTTCGGGAACGCCCAGCCAAGTATGTTGGATAAATGCGAAAGGAAAAAGGGCAGGGGGTCTAAGATGATGTCCAGGTTTCTCACTTGAAAAGGGAATGCAGACAAAGCAGGTTTGGGGTACGGGAGGGGTACGGGCAAGGGCTATGGGAAGATCATTAGCTTAGAAAAGCCATTATACTGGCTTCGGGCATGTCGGATTTGAAACTCCTGGCCAGTGCACTTCACGTCTATCTTAAGTTTTCCACAAGGACTCCTCTTGGTCTAACATTACAGCTGTGATTCCCTTGGCACCTTTGCTGCCCAGCCCTGAGGGCAGCGAGGGAGAGGGGCAGGGAGGGAGAGCAAGGGAGGAGGGGGCAGCTCATTCCAAAGAGGGAGGGACCAAGACTCCAAGAGAGTCCAGCACTCTAGAAGCCCCTGGCTCTCAGCCTAGACGGCTCGGTGGGTGTCCGGCCCTGCCACATTCAGATCTCACTCGTGCCCACTCGTGCCCACCATAGCGAACACCAGACCTCATCTCCAACACTTACAGAGCCTGCTGGTAGGAGGAAGGAAGGCGACAGTAGAGAAGGGAAGGGTGGAGGGAAAGAGGAGAGAGGAAGGGGGCAGAGGGGTCGCTGGGAGCCGACCCAGGGAGCAGCATAAGTGGGAGAAGGCTGGCCGGGGCAGAAGTGGCTGCACCAGGGGGAGCAGGAAGAGGAGGAGGCTGTACTGCTACCTCCCCGGCAGCTCCGGCCCCACAGGCCCACTGAACACCCATGTACCTCGCAGTTCTTTTTTTTTTTTTTTTTTTTTTAAATGTTTTATTTTTTTCTAGGGGAGAGAGAGAGAGAGAGACAGCGTGAGCAGGGGAGGGTCAGAGAGAGAGGGAGTCACAGACTGAAACAGGCTCCAGGCTCTGAGCTGGCAGTCTGCACAGAGCCCGACGCGGGGCTGGAACCCACGAACCGCGAGATCATGACCTAAGCGAAAGTCGGACGCTTAACCGACTAAGCCACCCAGGCGCCCCTGTACCTCGCAGTTCTAAAGGACTGTTAAGTAGGGTTGTTTTGAGTGGTTCATGTTCATCTCCTCAGAAAAGGGGGAAGCCAATGTTCATAGCAGCACTCTCCACAATAGCTAAAACATCGAAAGAGCCTAAGTGTCCATCAACAGATGAATGGATCAAGAAGATGTGGTTTATCTACACCATGGAATACTACATGGCAATGAGAAACAATGAAATCTGGCCATGTGTAGCAACATGGATGGACCTTGAGGGTGTTATGCTGAGCGAAATAAGTCAGGCAGAGAAGGACAAATATCATATGTGTGCACACATAGGAGGATTAGGAGGAACTTGACGGAGGAACAAGGAGGAGAAGAAGGGGGGAAATGGTGGGGGAAAGGGAGAGAGGCAAACCATGAGAGACTCTTGAATGCTGACAAAAACTGAGGACTGATGGATGTGGGGGGGAGGAGGGATGGGCATGGAGGAGGACACTTGTGGGGATGAGCACTGAGTGTTATGTGGAAACTAATTTGACAATAAACTATTTGTAAAAAAAAAAAAAAAAAAAAGGGGGGGGAAGCCCTGGAAGGGGCCCTGGGAAGGCACCATGAGAGCCAGAGCCCTTCCCACCCAAATGAGCGAGGTGGCTCGAGGTCTTTGCGGGAGTTCTCTGGACCCCCAGAGCTGTGCGCCCATGCCCGAAAACCCGAGCACCTGAATCTGCTCAAAGGGGATCTCAAAGCTGAAGGACTCGTTGAAGTAGGGGTTCAGGGTCTTCTTCTTCACCGTTGTCTTCTTCTTCTTGAGCCTCTTGCCATTCTGCATCAGGTGGATCTTCACGTAGGGGTCTGTGCAGGGAGAATCCCGGCCCCCGAGAGGTGCCCTTAGTGTCCCATCCTCCCACCAAACGTACTTGCCTGCCCAGAGCACCCACCCCACCAAGGCCAGGTGCCCAGCAAGCCCTAAGGCATAGGGTGCTAAGTCTAAAAGAAGCAGAGTAAGTGTCCAGTTCAGGGGTGGCGAAAAGGTTTCACTTCAAGGACAACCTCGGGCTGATCAGTTGTGGCCTGGTGTAATGCCTGGAACATTACATTGGGCACATTCCTGAGACTAAGTAAAGCCTTTTCTAGAAAGAGTGAGGGGGTTGCTTGGTGATGTCTGTCCGAGGCAGGGGACAGAAGAGTGCTAAAGGCACCACATCCCCGATTCAACCCAATCCTCCTGACCTCGCAGATGAGAAACCGAGGCCCACAGAAGAGAACTGATGTGCCCCCAGCCACACAGCGGATCTGTGATAGAGCTGGGGCTGGCGGCCAGACCCACCAGTTGAAGCCCACACACAGGCCTGATTCTCGGGAAAGTGCGTGCTGTGCTGTCCCACCAGAACCCCGTGCTGTGGGCTGGCCCCGCTGCGTATGCTCCCCACCCCCAAGTCCCCTTACAGGGTAGGGCCAGCAGAGCCCCTCCCTGAGAAGTGTCCCCAGACTGTGGTATGCAACAGAGAGGCAAGCTTTCCTACATAAGTTTCTCTGATCCTTTCCTGGCCAGTACTGCCCAGAGCTCAGAGTGGAGGCAGGAGACTCATGGGGCAGAGTGGGGGCAGGAGACTCATGGGGAAAGGAGGGAAAGCCAAACATCTCTGGCCCCACAGTCCTGCACTCAGACCCACAGCTGCTCAAGAGATATTCTGTGTATCCCAGGGCTGGAAAGTGCTCTTACAATGGCTATGTGAACAGAGGACTCAGGCCAGTGACCGGCTCGCTGGTGCCACCTAACGGCAGCCAGGAGTTCTGCATGTACCTGAAAGGCCACCTACGTCCATCTTCTTCAGGTTCTTGGCCTCCAGGATACAGACAGTGAGTTTCCCAGCTGTGGGCACGTAGCGCAGGGAGGTGCAGATGTCGCCCAGCTTCTCTGGCTGTCGGGAGGGTTGGGGGGAGAGCAGGACCCAGGGTCATCTTAGCCATCCCACTGCCTCTAGCACGGCGGACCCCCATTTTGTCAAGACTAGCAAGGCAGTGGTGTATCCCCAGCCCTCTCAGTCCCCAGTCCCCACATCTGTGATGTTTGAGAAGGTCTTGGGGCCTCCTGCTGCAGTTCAGCAAAGCCCCTGAGAGCGATGCTGCAGGAGCCACAGTCATAGGAGTGAGGGGAGCAGAGCACAGGCTGTGGGCAGGGGTGTGTGAGTGATGTCTGGGTGGATCTGGACAGATGCGGGGTATGGGTGAGCTCCCACCCCAGGCCTGGGGAAGTGGAAAGGGGACTGGGGTGTGGGCATGGTACCCAAGGGTTCACGTCCAAGTACACTGGGAAACTGAGCATCTCAGATGCCTTCCTCCCTGATTACCCCACCCTTGAGACAGCTCCTGCCAACCATTCCACTTGCAGAGTGAGCCACGGTCTTCAAAGCACAGAGTGTCCCTTTTCTTATATTACTGTAACTGCAACACCTTCATGTAGATAAGCCAAGGGTTCTTCGTAACCAGTGACAGTCCCACAAAGTCCTACAATTTAGCACTGGGGGCAAGATGAAACCTGCTGGACCCCTGGTTTCTAAGAGCTCTGCCAACATCATGGCAGAGCCAACTTCTCAGAGACCAGGTCACTCAGGCCAATAGCCCGGCTCGGGTGTACCAGCCCAGCTTCACACAGCATGAGCCCCAGGTAAGGAAGGGTGTCTTCAGTGTCTCTTCCCGTCCCCTCCATCACCACCTGGTACTGCACTGGGCACACAGCAGGGGCTTGGCCAAGACACATGACCGATGCTTGGAAGGAGCAGTGGCTAAAATGGAATATTTGGCACACAGTAGGTGCTCAGTAAGTGTTGGGTAAGTGCTTGAAGCCATAGCGGTTGTTAGGAGGACAAACCTCCATGCTGAGAATCTTTTAAAATAAACGTGGGCTTTCCTTGTGGGTAAACTGAGGCACAAAGTCATAAATCAGTGGCCCTAAGTGACAGCAGAATCTTGGGAGTAAAAATAATAATGGTGTTCTCCTTTACTTGAACACCTACTGGATGCCAGACGCCGACTGGGTGCCAGGTGCATTACAGAGATAAGTAATTCTCATCTGCAAAAACACTACAGGAGACAATCCAGATCTAAAGAGATTAAGTGACGTGCCCAGGGTCACACAGGTGGGGGTGTGGAGCTGGCGTCCCAACCCAGCTCACCCAACTCTAAAGCCTACCCTCTCCCTGTCATGTCAATGGGTGGTAGCCCAGATGGGCAGCCACATTCATCTTCCACCCGGTCTCTGCTCTCACCTCTTCCTTCTCCCCGCCCTGCAAGTCTCTCCACTCCTCGATGGGCTGGCCAAGGTCCACGGTGTTCATAGGCACCTTCACCTCACCAATGATGTCATGTTTGGAGAAGCGGTCAAAGTCATAGATGGCCATCACCAGGGTTTTGCCTCCTAGCTCCTGGTATGGTACCTGAAGGGCACAAGCAGGATCAGAGAGGGTTCAAAGCCACTCATGCACCTCCAGGGGCTGCTGCGGGCAGGTCCCTTGGTCAGAGCTCTGTTCCCACTACCTGCAGGACTCCTGGTGGGTCTGTAGAGACAGGAAAGACCTCAGGCTCTGTGGGAGCAGTGTTTGGGGGGAGGTGTGTGTCCCAGGTCTACAGGAAGCTGAGCAGAGACCTCACACATAAGCCCACAGTCCAGCTCGCCATTGGACCGCCATTGGACTGAGCCCATTCAGGGGCCTTATCTACCACTAAGAACCAAGGAAAGGTGTGCAGAACTCCAACAGAATTTGGATCAGGGAGGGAACTGGCATTATCCTTCCAGACCGCATCACCTTGAAGGTGAAGGTTTCATTGAAGGCAGGGTTCAATGTCTTCCGATGGACTTTGGTCTCATATTTCTTCTTTTTGTCTGGAAGAAGGAAGACTTTGACATATGGGTCTGAGGTGCCTCCCATGTCCAGGGCAGGCAATTCAGCAGCCTGCAGAACACCGACGGTAAGCTGTGGAGAGAGCGAGAGAGGGCCCTGAGTCTCAGGACTGCTCCTGGCCCCAGACCCAGCACCCACCGACCCTTCCCCAGAGGTGGGTGGCTGGGGAGGTGGGAACAGGCGGGTGCTAGAAAGCAAGACTGGTCTCCAGCTCCACCCCCAGGAATTTGGATGACATCAGGAGAAGCAGAAGCTGAGCAGGCAACTGATTTGCCCAAGGTTGGTGGGCAGGTTCACGGCAGGGCCATTCTGGGCCAGGGAACCTTCTGTAGAGCAGGCTGGTGGCCAAGGCAGAGTCAATGTTCAGGGGTACATGCCTGCGGTTTCCAGCCCATCTCACTCCATGGAAAAGAGCAATGCCTATGGGCCGGGATGGGGGTGAGGGGTGTGGGAGTGTGAAGCTGTTTCTATCTCCCTCCCACCTGAATCCCAGCCCCACCCCCACTTTGCCCCCAAGCCGGGCCCTCACACCTGGTTGGCCTGGAAATCATAATCCAGGGAAAACTGCAGTTTTCCCAGATTCTCCGGCTCTTTCTCCTCCTCTCCTTCACCTTCTCCCTCAGTCAGGCCTGTCTCTGCATCGTCATCATCCTGTGGAGGCTGGAATAAAGGAGGGGTGAGTTAAGAGAGAACGGAGCCTCCCAGCCTGGTGCAAGGGCATCAGGAAGCCAGCCTATCTGTGTAGACCCTGACCCAGAGCTGGGTGTGGGGCAACGGGAAGGAATGTGGCACTGTCCAGGGGGCTTCACTCTGCACAGCTTCTCAAAGCCCCCACACAGCCCCTCAGAACCCCAGACCATGTCTGGAAGACCCAGTTCTGGCTTAGGTGTGCCTCTCTCCCTGCAAGACACAGTGCTACGAAGCCAGGCGCTGTGCCAATGCTCTAGAGCTTCTTGAAGCAGGGGAGGGGTGCTTCCCTTGTTAGCTCCTCTCAAAACTTCCCCAGCTCAGGCCCCACCCATCCTGGGTAAGACTTACCAGGAGTGCAGTACAGGCATTCAGGAGCAGGGTGAGTCCACAGAAGTAAGAAGAGAAGGAAGAAAGTGATGTAAGAGAACATCCTACAGCTCAGACCAGCCCCTGAAGTCACAGCCACCTGGTGATACCAGGTGGGGCTACACCCAGATAGTTCTTGGAGCTCCCCCCTCCCTGACTTCGCACTTGCAGGCTTCTTTCAGGCACACACACACCCTCATGCACACTTGCACACATGCACACACAAGCACTCAAAGGCCATCTTAATCTCTAGCTGACTTCTTGAGATCACGCCCTTCCTTCCATCCTCCATATTGATTTCTTGAGCAAGAGACTTCTAGTCACTTTCAGAACAAATGTGGGCAAAAGAGAAGCACACAGGGGCCTTTGTAAACGTAAAAGGAAACACTGGGTTTATCAAAGGACCTTTCCAGGCCAACCAACCCCCACAAAACAGGGGTAAATAAGCCAAATTAGTACGTGACTACAGACGGATTCGACTTGGCCCTGGTCTTGGGGGCCAGGACTATTCTTATATCTCATTCGAGGCCCCACTGGTGCCTCCAGTGACATTTTGTCCTTTAGTCTCTTCTGGCAGGAAAACACAGGGTCACTCCAATGGTGGCTACCTGGCGGGTTTGGGGGGGGGGGGTCTCTCTTTCCAACATTTTGTCTCAATAGCCTCTTTGGGGGTCAATATATTATTCTCTCCCTCCATCTTTTCAAGGATGAGTCCATGATCACACATGAATAAGTCCCCCACTCCCACCATGGGATGGATAGACAATATTTTACTAGAGATGTAGCCAATAAGGAAGGTCATGTGGAGTTCTAAGAAGAGGAGCTGGTTGGGATATAGATACCAGAAGCCTTTGCTTCACCTTTCACCACCTAGAATGCCTGGGCTGGGCCCCTCTCAGTCCCCCACCCCCGCCTTGTCCTACCTGACCCCCTTTCATGTCCTTCATATTCATGGCATTCTTCATGCCCTTGCCCTTCTCCTTCTTGTTCTTCTTCTTCTTACAGCAGCACTTCTTACAGATACAGAAGCAGCAGGTGAGGAGCAGGAGGCCAGCGACCACAGCAATAGCAATCAGTGCCCAGGGTGGTACTGCCCACAGAGAGGACCCCAGAAGTCAGCAGTGCTCTGCCTTATAGCCCCTGATCTCAAAGCATCAGTAAAAACAGGGGCAGACTATGTACCCCAATGCCCACACTCCATATTTTTAACCACACACTCATGAGTGATTTACATGCAAGCTGCCTATACTTTGCATGCCTTTTCATTAAATACTTGCTCTCTCCTGACCCTAGTGTCCTTATGGATACAGCCTGCTAACTGACAGCAGTTGAGTGTATAACAAGGAAGAATGTCAGTTTGGCATTCTTGAGTTTTGACTCATTTGATCTACGGAAAACTGGCTTATATTGGAAAGAATGCGATGGTCCTTATCTGACCCAGGTGTAGGAAGAGCCCCTTTGGCCCATTCCTTATGCCCATACTAAAGAGGGCTGACCCAACCAAAAAGGCCAGCTTCTTAAAGGACCTAAATTGCCGAGCTCAAATATTTAGGCAGGGGCCCTGGGCTGCTCTCCATGGTCCTGAAGCACTGTCTCCCACTGGTGAGGCTGCTCCTCCCCCTTTTAAAAAAATTTTTTGAAAAACCATATACATTTATTCGGCATTCAGTGATAAAACAAGTTCCTGGTCCAGGATCTATCCTGTGCGATATTAACATAGTGTATATTAGCATAGCTGGAATAAAAACTACTATTCACAAGTGATATTTTTTCACAGGTTAAAAAGAAATCTACCAAAAAACCACTGTGGTGATCTAAAATATGTCCACAAATGCTCTGACAGTACCTTCAATAGGTGGAGCCTAATCCCCTACCTGGAATTCCCACTGGTCTTAATGAGTCACTGTTAACAAATAAAATGAGATGGAAACAACAGCGTATGACTTCCGAGGCTAGACCATAAAAGGCATTTCAGATTCCTCCTTGCTCTTTCGTGAAACACCCATTTGGAGGGACACTAGCTGCCATGTCAGAAGGACACTCAAGCAGCCTTACAGAGAGGGCCACGTGGCGAGGAGCCAAGGCCTCCTGCCGACCACATGTGAGGGAGCCACCTTGCACACGGACCTGACAGCTTCACAGGCACAATTCATGAGACCCTAAACTAGACCCATCCAGCTAAGCTCCCTGTGGATTCCAGACCCTCAGAAAATGTGGGAGATAAATGGTTGTTTGAAGCTGCTAGGTTTGGGCATGATTTGTTGAGCAGCATCAGAAAACACACATTGCTATATGATACAGTCATTATGAGAAAATTTGCTGAAATCATAAAAAGCCTAATCACTGTAAGTTATTGCACAGCCAAACAAAAAATAGAGAAGTCTGGAAAGCATAGTCAAATCAGAGCCTAACAACAAAAGTCTAAGATAGTCATGGTGCCCAAAGAACTAACTGGTTAATATAAGTAACATCCATCTTTCTTTCAAAGGAGTAATTAAAAGCATGCTCTTTGTTTTAAAATTATCTCAGGGCACCTGGGTGGCTCAGTCTGTGATGCGTCCAACTTCGGCTCAGGTCATGATCTCAGGGTTCGTGGGTTTGAGCCCCGCATCGGGCTCTGTGCTGACAGCCAGCTCAGAGCCTGGAGCCCGTTTCGGATTCTGTATCTCCCTCTCTCTCTGACCCTTCCCTGCTCATGTTCTCTTTCTCCTTCTCTCAGAAATAAAACATTGAAAATTTTTTTTAATAATAAAATTATCTCAACAAGGAACGTTCATTTTGTGGGGAGAAAACAGTTCCTGGTTCTAGTCCATATACTGTTAACCATGTGCTCCTGTCCTGAGCCACAGAATGGGAATGATGTTACCAACCCAAACGAATTAGCAACGTGCATCTCAGTATTAACCATTTGGTAAATAACAGATGTCTGTTGTTATTGTTGTGATCACTGTTATTAATAATATAAATACTGATGACCTTCCCTTTATTTGTCCCATCAGATTAGCTGTTTCTGTAATCTCGATGTAACAAAACAGTAACCATAGTTTGCAACCATTCTTGAAACAGGGTATTTTATAATTTGAACACCTGAAAATAATATATTTTTTAAATTCCTAGAACAAGTCACTGGAATTTTTATATTAAAATTTAAAATATCTAATCTTGCCAAGCTAAGGATATAAGGAAATACAGATATTTGAAATGTGACATGATCAAAATTTTTTAATGATGCTGGTGTTTAGAAGTTATTTTTATTTTTTTCTTAAATAGTTTTATTGTCAAGTTGGTTTCCATATAATACCCAGTGCTCATCCCAACAACTACCCTCCTCCATGCCCATCACTCCCCTACCCCCTCCCTCACCCCCATCAGCTCTCAGTTTGTTCTCAGCATTCAAGAGTCTCTCATAATGTTTTATTTATTTCTGAGAGAGAGAGAGAGAGCAGGGGAAGGTCAGAGAGAGAGGGAGATACAGAATCTGAAGCAGGCTCCAGGCTCTAGCTGTCAGCACAGAGCCGGACACAGGGCTCGAACCCACGAACCGTGGCATCATGACCTGAGCCCAAGTCGGACGCTTAACCGACTGGGCCACCCTGGCACCTCGGGGCTGCTCCCCTTAATGTCTGGTGACTCCTATACAGCCTTTGCCAAGAACTCAGAAAGCAGGGGGTGGGGGGGGGCATATTTTCTGTCTTCCAAACTAAGGTAGTTTCAAAGTATGACTGGAAAACTTCAATAATGGCTTCTGTTTCATAATTTTTCATCTTCTTTTGGTTTCATCTTTTGACAGTTTTCTAAGTTGTAAGAACTTTTTCCCCCTTAGGAGATCAGGGCCACATAAGCCTCCTTGTTCCCTTTATTAGTGCCAAGTACCACCACCTCTCCCCCCACCCATTGCTGAAGAGGCTCCCAAAATAATCCATCCTGGAATCCAAACATTCAGCCAATCACACCCCCAGTGGTGTTCCCCACCCCTCCTCAGCTCTGCCCTGCCCATAAGGCTTTGCGCTAACCCTGGCCTTGCCCCACCCTCTCAGCCACCTGGGACACTCACAGGGGATCTTCTGGATTTCATTGAAGAATTTCTCCTTCAGCTTGGCAAACATGTCCTCCTTACTCTCTCCAGCGCCCCCACTCTCGGTAGAGTTGTCTAAGAGCCCGGTTGATATTGTGGCGGCGGTGGTGGCAGGAGCCACAATGGGCTCCTGGTTCCTCTTGAAAATGTTCCTCATGGTGGCAGAGGGGATCACTGCAGATGAGAGGGGAAGGGAGCAGATGAATATCCCAGAGGTCCAAGTGCAGAAGCTCTGCCCAAAGGACTGGGGAACACTCTTTCAAAAGCTAAAGACTATTAAGAATCCCATTATTCGAAGTTCAAAGATATATCCCATAACATTGACAACTACGGTAAAACAGCAATAATAGTCATCATAAAGTTAGTACTTACATGGGCCAGGCACTGTGCATGATCTCCTCTCATCCAAACAACAGCCTAATGCTTGATTTTTATTCTTATTTAACAGATATGGAAATGGATGTTCCCAAGGTCACTTAGGTGGTAAGTTCTGAAACTGATGTTTGAGCCATTCAGCCTGACTCCAAAGCCTGTAAACCTAATCACTTTCACATATCTCATTTAAGTCCAACCATAACAACTCTAGGAAGAAGGCGATATTCCACTATCAAAAACTCTTTCTTGACCCTCTCTCCTCCTTAAATTCTTCCGTGACCTCACTCTGCCTAGATTCTCTGCCTGTCTCTATCACATCCCTGCCTCCAATTTACATCAACATCTCTGGAAAACAGAGGGAGAGAGGTTGAAAGAGAAGCTGTCCATAATTTTACCATGCAAACAGAGATAACTCAGTTAGCATTTTGGAGCATTTTATAACAGTAGATTTTCAGAGTGTGTTTTACATATTGAGACCAGATTACATGTAATTCAACATTCTGCCTTTTTTTTTAATGTAAGATTTTATCATAAGTTTTTTCCTTTATCATTAAAATTTTCCTTTATTATTGAATAGCTAACTAATACCCATTACATGGAAGTACCATATGTGTTTAATATTCCTCTATTAAACATTTAGATCCTTTACCAAGGTTTTGCTAGTAAAAAAAATATTACTGTGGTAGTCATTTAAGGCAGAGGAATGGCCTGCTCTGTTAAAAGTGGGGCTATGGTAGCACCTTCAACAATAGCCAAATCATGGAAAGTGCTTAAATGTCCATCACCTGATGGATGGATAAAGAAGATGTGGTTTATACATATACAATGGAATACTACCTGGCAATGAGAAAGAATGAAATCTGGCCACTTGCAGCAATGTGGATGGAACTGGAGGGTATTATGCTAAGTGAAATAAGTCAATGAGAGAAGGACAGAGACCATATGTTTTCACTCATATGTGGATCTTGAGAAACTTAACAGAGGACCATGGGGAGAGGAAGGGGGGAAAAAGTTACAGAGATGGAGGGAGGCAAACCATAAGAGACTCTTAAATACTGAGAACAATCTGAGGGTGGATGGAGGGTGGGAGAGAGGGAAAAAGGGGTGATGGGCATGGAGGAGGGCACTTGTTGGGATGAGCACTGGGTGTTGTATGGTAACCAATTTGACAATACATTATATTTTTTTTAAAAAGTGGGGCTATGGGAAGATAGCTCCACAGGCTTTGGAGGAGGTGAGGCTGGGGCCAGCAGGGGGCTGGTTCAACAGAAGAGCCAGAAATGACATGGACCCTGATGAGAGTAGGAATGTAGGGGATGGAGTAGAGAGGACAAATGTAAGAGCCATTCATTCATTCAACAAATTTATTGAACTCATGTCATGCTTCCCTTGTGGAACCTACCATAAACTGGATTAAATAATTACACATAGGTGAATGTAAGATCGTAATTCTGAGAAATGCCACAAAGGAGAGATACTTGGTGGTATGAGTTTATAGTGGGGCATATCTGGCCTAATCTGGGAAAGAAAAAATGCTTTCCTGAGGAACTGATTGAGACCTGAAGGATAGTGGGAAGTATCCAGGTGAGGAAGAGAGGAATGAGCAGCCTAAACGGAGAGAACAGCATGTGCAAAGGCCTGGAGGTGGGAAGCAGTCTGATTAGTACAGAACCTGAAGGAAGACCAGAATGAAAATAGCATGGGTCAAAATGGGGCTGGCAGAGTGGGCCAGGCTGGCCCAGGCACAAAACCTCACAGGCCACAGCAAAGAGTTTTGTCTTTACCCGAAGAGTAATGGGAAGCTGTCAGAGGGTTTTAAGGAGGCAGGTAATGTGTGCAAATTTACATTTTGAAAATTGTACTTCGGTGGCGGCGAGTAAAAGCCTAGAATGCACCATGACTCCAGAGGGAAGGGGAAAGAGTCTGAAACAGCCAGTAATGGATGTCTTATCATCCCCAAGTTCCCATGAAAGATTCTCCAGTGTTCCTGGGGAATCACCAGAGGGGAATGACATACAGCTGCTCGGAGGGAACGTAGAGCTGTTGATAAAGCAGCGGCACAGATCACTGGCTTTTCCAGGGCCTGGTGCCTGGAAGGCCCTTTCAAATCCACCTCCAATAAAAGACATGAGGACAAAGCTGCCCAGATCCAAGGGAATAATGAAGTTACACATCTAGAAAATGTTTGGGGTCATCCTACGCTTCTCTCCCGCCATCATCCCCACATGCAAGGCATCTGCAAACTTCTCAGCTCCACTCACAATGTTTGCCAAATTCGGCCACTTCCCACCCCTCTACCTGGACTGTTATAATAGCCACGTATCTGGAAGCTTTCCACTCTCCTCGGCTCAGTCTAATCTCAGCCCTGCAGCCAGGTCCATTTATTTTAAACCCTCCAATGGCTCCTCATCACACTTAGATAAAATCTCTGCATGGTCTGGCCTCTGGCCCCTGGCTAGCTCCCCAAATGCATTTCCTAACACTTCTGCTCTCAGCCACTCAGCTCCTGCCATGGTGGCCTTCTTGCTGCCGGTCACACAGGCTCACCAAACAAACTCACAGCCTTTGCACTTACTTTTCCCTGAGCCAAGACTGTTCTTCTTCCAGAAACCTCCTTGACCTCCCGGAGGCACCATCACTCACCTGGGAAAACACCACTCCTGGAGAAATCCTATTAGGGGCTGAGTGTTTGTGTCTCCACACCCCCACCAGTTCATATGTTGAGATCTAATGCTCAACGGGATCTGTTAGGAGGTGGGACCGGGAGGTGCATCAGAGGGTGCAGCTCACGCATGGGGTTAGTGCCTGAGAAGAAGAGGCCAGAGAGCTAGCTGGCTCCTTCTGCCACGCGAGGATGCCGGAAGTTGGCAGTCTGTAACCTGGAAGAGAGCTCTCACCAAAGCCCAACGTTGTCAGCACCCGAAACTCAGACTTCCCAGCCTTCAAGGCTGTGAGAAATACATTTCTGTTGCTGATAAGCCTCCTCATTTACAGTGTTTTGTTATAGCAATCTGAGCCAAGACACCCACTATCAGCTCTGTCCTCTCCATTGTCACCCCAGACAACTAAGCACTGCTGGTGAGCGTCCCATATGGGGGCCGCGGGGCACCCCATAGATTCTCAACACCACCCAGCCCTTCGACCCTGCACAGAAACCTTAATATATGTTGCCCATCAACTCACTCTGCCTCCCTTCACAATGGATGCTCCAGACTCTCTATTTCATAGTTCTGTGGCTTGCCCATGGCCCCAACACCTCGCCTGTTATTATTAGAAGCCATTGAAGAGAAATCTCTGACAATATCCCACCCTAGGCCAAACCACAGACCTTCCTGCATATTAACCGCCCTCTCCCCCTGACCTCCTGTCTCAGCTGACTACTTTCCTCCTATTTAAGGCCAATCCCTCTATCTCGGAGGGGTCCTCTTTGACCTTCTCAGGACACCTTCTTGATCCATGTTCTTTCTTATCCCCAACCTTTCCTGGTCAACCATTTTGCTCAGATCTAGTTGACTTACAGCATTTTGGGACTGGGAACTGGGTCTCCTAATGCCTGCCCAATGATATTTTCCTCTAGACCATACAACCTCTCAGACGGTAGGGGATACATTTTTAAGAAAAGTTATTTGTATGCCCAGTAATTATTTTAGAACAGAGAATGTTTTCATTAGAGCTACTACCGTATTTTTAAGAGTTGGCATTATTGAGTGATACAAAATGAATGAAATGTGCAAATAACAAACAAACAAAGAAAAACAGGAACAGGTAAGGTTGGGCATAAGAAAGGTTCCCTCTGCTGAATTCTTCCCATTTGAAAATACCACCAGCCAAGCAATGAAGACCCTCCCCGCCCCTCCTCATTCAGCTGCCTCAGTGTCCTATTCCCTTCAGGGCCACACTCCGCCACATGGTCTCCATTTCCTCCCCCGCCCCCCCCCCCACCGCCCCCACACCCTGACTCTCTCCTCAGCGCCCACACTGCGGCTTCTGCCTTGTCACTCCACTGAAGGGGCTCTCTGCACAGTCACAGGTGACCACAAGGTCACTAAACCCAGCAGAATTTTTCATTTGGTTGTACTTGACCTCCCTCAGGTTCACCTCCAACCACCCCTTGATTTTCATCATAATTCAGACTCCATCGGTTGCCTCAAGGTTTGCCCCCAAGGCTTCTCCTCCCAGGCCAAGTGTCTCCCCAGGTGACCGCTTGCACCCCCGGCCTCAGCCACATCCCCATTCTGATGGCTGCCAAAGCCCGACTCACTCCTGAGTTCCAGGCCCAGAGATTCAGCTGGGCCCTTGACATACCTACTCTGCCCCCTGTATTTCCTCTTGCTCACCTCCAAGCAGTTCTGCAGGTACCACCAAAGCAATCTTCCTAAAACATGAATCTGATCATGTCACTATGATTAAAAGCCATCCCAGGGACACAAGCCGCAATCCGGAAAGTGGACTACGAAGCCCTCGTGTTCTGTATCCAGCATCATTTCCTCTTCCCCTGCCCTGAGTCTCTAATACCAACCACACATGACTTCTTTCACTTCTTCTGACACACATGTTATGCACCCCCAACAACACACACCACAAGGCCTTTGTATATACTGCGCCCCATCCCCCAACCTCACTGAGCTAATGTCTGCACATCTTTCTCAGCTCAGCTCAAACGGCACC